AAAATAAACTATTTAAGTTATGAAAGAGGGGTAAAATCCCCGGTGGGCTCCATGGATAATGCTGATAAATGCATGATGCTGTCTCCTTGAGTTAGGAGGTCTGGTTGCATCATCATGACTTTACCAATTTCTTGCACCCAGGGGGCACTCGTGGGTCCAATCCATCACAGGATTAAGCTATTAATACAGTACATGACCTGTGTCATTTATAAAGCTTGATCGCAACAGCCAGAAATAGGGAAAATGTTTTATAGAAAAACATCCTTTAACTCAGTTTTTAAGAGGCTTGTGAGTTCAGTATATGTATTTGAAGTGTTTTACAAGACAAGTTTAAGCCTTAACATATTTTGTATTAAATTTGAATTTAATTTATAAAAAAAAATCTTAAACATTTTCCAATGTATAAAAATTCTATTTTTGTATTTTTTTAAAATTGCATTTACCCATGTAACAAGGGGAAATCACAAAACAGTGCTATTGCAGCTGAAGATTAAGCTTGCAGATCAAGCTTTAAAGAATTTGCATCAACTGCAGTTAGGGTTGAGCATTTGGCCAGTCCAAAATGAATGGTCAACTGACCTGGTCAAACATTAAAAAAAAGTCAAACGTCTCCAGTGTACCTAGCTTTAGATACTTATTCCTAATAACAAGAGGCAAGTTATTTGAGTTAGAAAAATATGAAGCACAGTGAATGACAAAAGAATTACCACCCTCCTCTGCATATGAATTGGTCCTGCCTTGGGCAGGGGGCTGGACTTGATGACCTCGTGAGGTGTCTTCCAGCTCTATGATTCTATGAACATTATGCAAGTAAATCGAAGTTTGAAAGCGTCTCACCAACAGAACTTGGTCTAATAGGTATAATCACTTATGTGTGTCTAATAATCTGGGATCAAGAGGGCTACAACCACACTGCATATAAACAGATTGATTTCTATTGAATTTTTCTTTTGTACTGTTTCAAACATAGCATCTGTGAAAGAAAATAGTTTTTAAATGCACTCTTAGTAGGTAGTTAACAGGCTGATACTTCAGGAATCTTGCTTTTCATCATCTTTTTCTTCATCTTCAACTACTTTCATCTATATCTGCCATCAAATTCATTAGAATCTCCCTCTTCATCTAATTAATACCAGTCAACTCAATCTGAGATTTTCTTCAATATTAAAGAGAGATGTCACCAGCTTTCCAGTACTGGAAGTCTTCAGTCTATTTCTGCTCTCTGAATGGACTACGATTCTCCAAACTAATATTTTAATCCTCACATGCAGGGGTACACACCATGAACTCTAGCTACAGTGGCAGAACTTAAGAAGGATACAATCCTTTCCACCATGATTAAGAAGCAAGCTCCTATTCAACTGCTAGAATTGCAAACCACATTGTTTTGTGGCTCTACAGGTTCTTATTTTATAATATGACATCTTCACAAGAATTGTTTGCTCATTTGTACATCCTTTAAAAATTTGCAAAAGATCACAAGCTGAACTGAATAGGTCTCCAAGGAAGGTCTTGCCCTAGAAGTGTGGATCAAGAAAATAGGCAGCATTGTATGCAGGAGTGATTACTTGATTTTTCTGTGATGTTATGGCTATTATTTTTTGTAAGTGGATTGTGTTCAGTATTTTCAGAAAATATAATGATCAGCAACTCATGCTTGGCATCAGACATTTATTGTTTTCCATAGTCTAAATGGACTCAACCATAAGATACAAGCAGTGAAGAGAACTTTGAGTTTTGCATCCAAGACCTGCTTTGCACTTTTGACACATGGAAGTTGTCAGATTTCACCAATGAAAAGCTGCATCGCAGACAGCACATAAAGAAAATAAGGAGACAGCACAAAGTATGGAACTTATTTATGAAAGCCCAAGCAACTTTCATATTAGCCATGTTGCTGGTTACAACCAAAATAACCAATCGTGGACTCAACTTATTGATGCATTCTTCTGTTAGTCAACTATATATTGTGTGGTGAGTAAACACACCGTGCAGTTATCATGAATTTGATTGTGAAAACTGCTCTCCTAAAATACTAGAGACACACAAGAAGCTTGCATAATAAGTATTCCAATTTTTTCATGTCATCGGCTTCAGCATTCAGAAGACTTCCTATAAAATTGCATCGCACTTGGCATTTTGTAAGTAGGATGCCATTTATGGAAAAATTCTAGCATATGACGATTTCTGATGTGGCACATTCGATCCAAAAGTCTCTTAAAACAATTTCATTATGAAGGGTAAGCACTTTCAAATCTGAAGCAAAGGAGTAGCAAAATTCTTATCAGAATTAGCTTCACTTTCAGACTTATCACTATCCTAACAGAAAATCCCTGCATGCTTCATGCCAAAGACAAAGGCGGATTACTCAGAACAAATTTTGATGCAGACCACTTTTCCCTTTCTTGCTGTTTGACTGCAATAGTCTTTGCTCATAAGTGGACACATGAAAATTCATCAGATTGTTTTTTCATTCTGTTTGTCAAGAAGAATCAAACCTAGCTTTAACAAGTTTTTTTCCCCATGTTCATGCCTAGTAAAAAATGTATACAAATGACTCTGGCTTACCCAACTCTGCATAATTTATGTCACTGTTGTTAATGTTGCTCTACTTCTGGAATGCTCTCCATATTACCAAGCATCTCTTCAATTAACCAGCAGTGAATCTATTCTCTTTTGATCTACTACTGTTCCAGAAGATTCCAGCAAACACACACATTTTTGGGCATGCTACTTTCTCCCTCCCAGGGACTTTACAGTTTTCAGATAACATGAAAGGGAAAGACAGCTCCTCTTCCCTGAAGCAAACACAATGGATTTACAGGCAGCAGCTGCAGGCAGTGGTAGCACAGCAGCAGGAAGCAAAAGGCCTTTACTGAGATGTGATATCAAAGTCCTCTCACTAACACAGGACTTCTCAGATTATCACAAGGTTTGGCTAGGCATTATAAAAGGAACATTTGTTAAGAGAAATAATGGGAGTTTATTTACATGGGCATTTAATGTTGCTATTTGCTTTGCCAACAGGGAAGGGGCTGGAGATTTAATAGCTGAAATTCTTTTCTTTGCTTAGTGAGATGTTAAATGTCTAGGGCTTGACAAGCAGTGGCGAGCCGTGTGGTTTGGCACACTGCGCACGCAGACTGTGCTGCGCGGCCACACCAGGCTAAGGCGAGTAGATTGCCCTAATTGTCAAGCCCTGTAAATGTCTACGTTGCTCCTCTTTCTGTTGGGAAAAGTTTAATAAATGAACGATTCCCTTCCCGTGTTTGGTCAGTTTAGAGCAGTGGTTCCCAAACTTTTCAGGCACATGGACCCCATTTCAATCTATTAAAATTTCACAGACACCCACTCCATGGGGGAGATAAAATGAAACAAAAGGGAAGAGTGAGTGGTGGGCCTGATTCTTATTTTTAAACTTTCCATAGATTCCCTGCAGTACTGTCACGGACCATAGGTTGTGAACCACTGATTTAGAGCCCGCTGTAAGATCTTTGGGGTAAGGACTACCCCTTACATTGAAGGCCTGCTGCACAAATAAATATACACAATACTGGCTAGAAACTTTGAAGAACAAGTCAAGATATTCAACAGGTGGCATTAGCATGTACAGTGACAAACCAGTATGCTCACATTGGCTTGCTAGTATATGGTATTATGGCTGATGCAATATAAAAGGTAAGCTGCCAGGTACATTACGCCATTCCTGTTTGGCTACTTGATAGTGATTAAGTAGGCATTGAATTGACTAGGCTTGCCAAGTGCAGCACTGACCTCAAGTACAAGCTTCAATATTGCAACTTGGGCACCCAGTAAGAGAATGTTGCAAGTCAAAATTGTGGCTTTCACAGCACTTTCTTGTATTATTAACATTCATTAACTTAACCTGTTAGCTTATTGAGGCCCAGAGTGGATGTGATTTAAAATCAAAATGATTTAAATCACTAGTCAGGAAGACTCAATTTAATCATGGTTTTCTACATAAAAGTGCATTCTTGTTGGTTGTTATAACCTTAATACATATTCTTCACAACTCACAGATAGATGTAGGTTTCATTTTCAGAAGATACACACAGTGCATTTTTAAACAGTGATTTATTTTGAGAGCTCTTCAGATTAGTTTTACAGCTGTATCAAAAAACAAATGATTGTTTGGTTTATATAATTTACCAAAGGTAATTAAAGCCTGTATTTATGAAGTCACTGGGAGGTGAACTACCCCCAATTCTACAGATTAGTCATTAGGATTTTCTTGCCATACAATATTAGAAGAAAGGAGATCACCACCAAACACATTTAAATTGTTTTATTTAACTAAAACAACATCAGGTATTCTAGATGTTTTTCTTCAACAGCAAACATTTTAACAAAACAAACTTGAATTTAATTTAGTTAAAACATTTAGTTTTTAAAATGGAATGTGTTAAAATTGTTTAATATTTAAATGAAATATTTTTTTAAATTAAATTGATTGTCAGATAGGACATCATAAGACACTTAAAATGTTGGCTTCTGTAGCTAACTCAGTCATCTTCACCTTCATTTTCCTGTTTGTTCATAATCTGGAAGAGCAGAACAAGCTTTCCTGCCTTTTCAGGGTCCAAGAAATTTCTCAAATCTGCAATGAATTAGTCCAAAGGAAAATGTTCATTCTACACTATCAGAAGCTATTGCTGATAAGAGTGAGATTATCACTTCAACAATCTCTGATTCCAAGTACTTAAGTGACTTCCACGAGTTCACTGGTGTGACATCGCTCAACACATCAGCAAACACATCTTTCTTGAAATGGTTCATCCTTAGCTCTGAAGTTTTATAGTTGGCATTATGGAGGGATGATTGATAGATGCCCACAACTCTTCTTCAGTAGAAAAGGCTTGACTCTGGTGCTGAGTACTGAGAATATTTGCAAGAAAATGAAGACAGTGCTTGTCCTTTTTGCTTTTTTTAATGCTTGTAATTTAATTCTGTCGTTGCATATTTCTCTTTTTAAGCTCTCAGTTCCTTCCAAATTTCAACAGCATCAGCAGTAAAACAGCTATTTCGCTGCATTTTGTTCAAGGCTACAGAAATAGGCCTCAGAGTACCCATCATATGTTCAACAATTCTCTTAAGCTCAAATGCTGAGAATTTTGGCTGTGACCGTAACATCTATTTTTTCACGATTTTGTTCACAAACTGTCAGATTAGGCCAGTTCTTGATATAGTGCTCAAAACAATCTACCACCAAGTTTCATCACACATATTGTGGAAGAGTTAGCTTGATTCCTCCCACTTTTTTCAGGGTAGCTGCTGCAAAGTGGTTGTAACAGAAGTATTTTGCAATTTCAATATTAGTCTTTATTTCTGGAAGTTTTTGGCAAGGAGGTGCATCAAATGAGCACTGCAACCATATGTTATTAGCTTGGGACTCTCGTCACTCTCTTCTAAATTTCTTCCCATTTTGGATAGCTGTGCAGCATAGTTTGTGACCAAGCTGCAGAGAAGACATTTGAATTTTTTCAGTTTGTTACAGCTTTTACTGCTACTCCTTGTAAGTATTCCGCTATGTGTGCATTTCCTGATATATTGTTTCTGTAAGGAAAACATTCTCTTCTGTTGTCACACAAGCACATAACAGTATCATTGTGAACACTGCTCCACCCATCAAGACACAGGTTAACAATTTTACCTTCTAGACTTTTTGCACTCTTCTCAATTGCTCTCAGACTTTATCCAGCAATTTGCTTGCAACATCTGCTCTGTTGGCGGACTGCATCCTGGTCTTAATGACTGTACTATGTTAGTGAAGTGTGGGTTCTCAATAATATGGAAAGCAGAGTTTACTGCATAAACAAACTGGATATCCGCTCCCCCGCCCCCCCATCAACTACTACTTTCTGCAATCTGCTGATTCTTATCACAAAGATATCTATGGTTGTTGTTGTTTTTTCTTTTTTGCTACAGAAGATATACTGTGGCTATATGACACACTTGAGGTGACTGAAACCCTATCATTGGCAGATAATTCTGAAACTACAGAAAATGATGGTGATCTTGAAGATGGATAGTCTTCAGAATCCTGTCTGTCGAGGAGTCTCCTAAACAAAACAATGCAAATATTTAATTATTACCACCATACTGCTCATTTAGTATTACTCATTGCACTCACTAACACTCAGCACTACTATAAGGTGAAATTGTAAAAGGAAGATCTGCCTGTTTCAGCTATTTATTTATTACAACTGCATCCAAAATGTTACTCTGATCCTAACTATTTTTTGCTCAAACATGAGAATTTAAGAATAGTACGGAAGACCAACAGGCAGAACTTAATAAAGAAATATAAAATAAAAAAGTTTACCAACCTGAAGATCCTGCATGTTCGGACACGTTCCTTTCGTCATTTTCAATGCAGCTTCCTCCTGAGACGGAACACTTCTGATGATGTTGTTTCAGTCAGACAACCAGGACTTGCATTTCTTTGTTGCACTGTTTGCATTTTGCATGCATGCCTGTCTTACCCACAGGTAGAGGAACTTCATTAAAATATTCCCAAACTGCCACCATTATAGGTTTTTCCTTCCAGTGAGAGAAGGGTAGATATCAAGTCAATGAAGGTTACACTCAAAGACCTCAAGACTTTTGGAATATGCTGCTCAGTTTCTCTTTTGTTTTGACCTCCCCTCTTGCATTTATCTCCAGACTACTTCTCATCTAGATCTATTCTGCCCCCAACAGTCTTCCATTCATTTCATTTTTTTGAAACTTTGCACTTTTGGAGAGAGGCAAGGGATTGACTGTGTTCACAAATTTGCAGAGGGACAACAGGATTGAGGCCTGTTATTTCTCACTTCTATATATAATTTAAAGACATTTTTCCAGTTAACATACCTTATCTCTGCAGACACAAATCCAGTTTGAGAACTGCAAGACTAAGCATCTCTGATAGTACCCTCTAAACAGACCGCTAAGAAAGATTAACCAAAACAATCTATACAGACACCTCTGGAACCCCATAAGATTGGGTCCCTAATCCATAAAGTATTTGGAACTCATTTACAAAAATGTTTCTTAATTCTTAAACATTTCATGATAGTATTGTCACATACTACAGAATAAGAATGTATAATCCCTATTACACTAAGAGATATCTTTGAGCTATCAAAACTATTTTCCCTCAAAAAGTATTTTATCAAAAAAACCCTCTTTTTTATTTTATTTTTTTTAAAGTTGTTGATTTTTATCCACCCTGCTGAAGCCTTGTCTATGCTTACCCAAAGATTGACACTCTGGAAATTGATCTTCTGGAGTTCAATTCAGTATGTTTAGTAAGGACCTGTTAAATCAAAACACTGATGGTGTCCCTGTTGATCCAGGTATTCCATAGGGTTGCAAGGAATAAGAAAAATTGATGGGAGACCTCTTGCAAAGGGGCCTTCAGACAAATGTGATTTAAGGCAGGTGAACTCCAGCTATGCAATTCTCGTAACTGGAGTTAGATAAATTGATTTTCTCCTGCAGTGTAGACCTGGCCTTACTTTCAGCAGGTTAAATTATAAGGAAGAATTATCCAAGTTTTCCCTTTTGCTTGGCACAAGAACCTGATATACTAGTAACTAACTGTTACTGCATTAATGGAATGTAATCCAATACAGTGCATGCATTGTGATGTTAAGATTGAAATAATATCCTTGCTCAAAGAGCTAATATACTCAAAGTAGTTCCTTGGGCTTTTCCAGAAGAATTCAACAGTCTTCAAACTAAAGCATGTTTAGTTGCAGAAAGCAACTGCATCTGAACAGTTCATATTTCCCTTCAAAACTACTGTCTAGAAACTTGTTTTGTACCAAGAAGTCTGAAAACAAAGAACATTCAGCCCTTTGAAAAAAGATGGAAAATTGTGATTTTCTAGGATAAAACCATGTAGTACAACAGCAGTTCAAGATTAAACCCAAATTTAAGCAAGACAATCAAGGTTATTGGTCCTTTCCCTGGACTTTGGGCCAAGTGAGGCTGAATGCAATACACATTAACATTAGAGGAAGCCAACTGATGAAACCGTACCATTCACAGTTTTCCATTTTCACTGCTGGACAGATGCTAAGCAGAGACAAACCCACAGCACTATTACAGCTGAAACAGAGCAGAACCCAAAGTCTCCAGACACTGGCCCTAGTTAATGAGAACTATTCCTTGAAAGTGTTAGGTCTAGGATTTTGGATTTTATCATTTATCACTTATCACATTCCCAACACCAAGTCAGTTTCTTGTTTTGAAAAAGGGGTTAATGCGGGAGCAAAAGATGCAGTGGTTAAAATGACCCAACATCCCCAAAAGAAATGATATGAAGAACAAGGACATTTTGGTTTAAAGTTAGTAGTCAAATTCTCCAAGGACGTCTGTTTTTTTAAGTGTACAGCCAAATGTGTGTTTTTAAACCACCTCCTTGATCTAACACTTAAATCACTGCCATTGTCCAATTTAGTGTTCAATTTTTTTCCTCTAACGTCACTTGGTTCTTGGCTACTAACCTTTCATGTTACTCTTGGATTTGTCAGTTTGCTTGCCTGTGGGGGTTTGGGCCTGCTGCCCCTGCCCACTGGAAGAGGCGGCTTGCTGTGCTGCTTTCTGCTTTAACATTGTCCAGTCGAATGTGTAGTCATATTGGTGGTTCAGGGTCCTAGAAGACAAGAAAACACTTACTGCAACACGTGACTATCTTCATGTGACTATCAAGCCAGTCTGAAAATGGAACTAAAAGGTAATTGCCTTTGTAAAGCACTTTGAAGATGAGCATTAAATGCTAAATAATAATTTAAAAGAAATCCTGAAGTAAGCCTGAAAGCCATTTGGCAAATCTGTGTGTGAGAGAGAAGGAGACATTTGTATCCATAAAACTACTGCAAAACCCAGAATCTTCTGCCTCTACTGAAGTAATGATTCTTCCTTTATACTCTTACCTATATGTAGCCCAAATGCTCACAGCACCCAAAAGCCCCCCATTGATTCCTCTCATGATTCAATCCCATATCCTCTGTCACAGAGTTGCTGGAAATGGTGGAATGCAGGACAATTTCAGCCATTTTGTAAGCAGAGGATAAAGAGGAATCAAAGTCACTGATCCAAGAATGTTGGAACAGAGAAAACAGAAAAGATTCTCTTCTTTCACAGCAAGTTTAATATTCTGTCACATAGCTCACTTTAGCTGTAGTTTCACTCTACTTCTAATTTTAAATTATTTGTTTAAGAAAACAGATGTCTCCCTCAGTCCAGGAGCTTTTTTTTTTTTTTTTTTTAAACTCAGCTCTAAATAAGAAGCAGTTATTCATCAGTGCTGTCAGCATGAGATTTCCAGACTATGCTATAATTGAGACCTACCTGAAAAGAATACGGAATAATTGCCTCAGATACATGTAATCAGGTGCCTCTTCAAAGCGCAGGCCACGACAATAGTTCAGGTACATGGCAAATTCTGCAGGAAATCCCTGTAAGCAACAGTATTAGTCAAACCCATGACCTGCAATGAGTAGACATTTGAAAGGATTCAGAAATTAAGAAGCCATAGACAATGTTTCAAGGAAGAGCTAAAAATGGACACAGGTCTTAGGAAAATGAAGAATTTAAGTCTGTTTTTGCCTCATTTTGCTCAGGATACTCATCTAATTAGACACCCAAGAATATATCCCTTTTCCTTTCTTAATTCACATGAACTTAATATGATGTATGTTATGTAAAAATAAGGATATCTACAAAAATAGCACCTCACAAATTGAAAATACATCAAATGCTTTATTCTTTTATATCTTTCCCGTTTTATTCTAGTTAATACTTAGTATTTTAATGTCCCAACAGTAGTAGTTATAGTTCTTCAGAAAACTAAGTTACTCATCCAGGCTATTTTGGGTGTATTACAAGTAAAAATAAAAGCTGCTGCTTAATGGTCTTTGCGACTTAATCATGAAAAGTCTCTTACTTTGAGAATTCGCAGCATAATATGAATTTTTGCATCATAAGTGCTGCTTAAATTATTTTATCCATAAGAATAGGTATTATATACCAATGCTCAAATGTAAGAGCACAATGTTGTAAGAGAACACAAGTAGAATTCAATGAATTGGCATACGCAACATTTCATACATTAACTATATAGGAAACCCCTGAGATGCAACCGCCCCGAGTTGCGACCCCGCTCCCCACCATTTTTGTAAGTGCGGAAGAGGCCAAAAACCCCCGACTTGTGTCCTTGGCCTGCATTTATGATAGCACACGACACTGATCATAAATGAGGGTTTGAGTTACGATGCCCTCAACTTGCAACTCTTCCCTAGGAACCATTCGAGTTGCAAGTCGGGGGTTGCCTATACTGTGAATATGCAGGATTGTAGAGTTAGATCTATGGGACTCCTGGAAAATATCTAATCAAGGAAAATAATCTTATCCTAGAGATGGGTAAAAAGACGACATGTATGCCTATGCCTTTGATGGCAGGTGGTGTGACTTCTGCAGCCCCCAACAATGACAGTTTGCAGATCTTTTGAAATCCCAGATAAACTGGATTGGACAATTGCTTTTCTGCAGTCAGATCCCTCAAGTGGGATTCCTCAGGGTCCATTCTATTGCTTCATCTATTCAACAGATGGCAGACATTGTAAGGAAACACAGGGTCCTGACCTCCCCAGTGATATGAGTGTTCTATTTGTGCCTCAAATACTTTCTGAGAAGAATGTGGATGACATACAACTCAGATAAACCTGACAATGTTTACATGGTGAGAACAAGCAGAACTGGAAAAGGTGAGGATTTCTACTGTTCAGCCACCCAAACTGAGGCTCTGTCATTTAAGGGATCTTGTTGGATTACTTTCTGCACTTACTGATCAAGTAGCCATGGCTAATGGGAGAATACAAATGAGAAGAGAATGTAGTTTATAAAGTGCTTTGATCCTGTGTCCACCACATTGAATAGGTCTTTTGAGTCTGAGGAATGAGGTAAAGTTATTTCCATGTACTCTTACCTTACACAAAACCTCAACAGGAGTTGACATCTTCTTTTCACTAATCTTTTCATACTTTTGCTTCTTTGTTGCAGCCTGTGGAACATGTGGGTCACAATATAAAAAGATGTTGTGCAATTCTGGATTAACAAGGACAGCAGCAAAAAAACCTCACACCAAACTGATGGGGAAAGCCACTGGTGAATCAAAAGGTTTTTTTAAATATGCAATCAAGTCCCACATACTTATTGCAGAGGGAATGAAGGTCAATCTGGTATTAAGATCTGGACACAGTTTAATACCATTTATTGCAGCCTAAGTATCGCATGGCACAACTCGTGTCTTTCTAGCTGCTGTTTTGTCCATTCAGAATTTCCATTAATTCCAATTCCTGAGCCACCCTGAACGGCTTCCTGTGCCTTTTATTATTAAGCAGTCACTACCTTAAGACTGCAGCTAAAGAGTTCTAATGTTTCACAAGCAGAGTGCCTATTGAAACTTTACAGATTGTGGAACTAACACAGACTGAATTGCACAATTCAAATATGAGTAAGAAAACGAAAATACAGGAAATAAGTCTATACTATTCAAATCACAAATTCACCAAGCTTTTACATGACCCTGTGCTGCAAATTAGGGTAGTGAAAATTTACACCTTTGTTAAGCTTAGTGTATGTTTCAGTTAAGACAGTAATTCAGTTAACCCACAAACTATACTTAAATTTCCTTTAAAGTTAGTTATGCCTTCATAACCCACACAGTTAACGAATACCTTTTGATATCTTAGTCTCCCCTTTCCAAAAATGACCATGTCCTGGTATAGAAAGAGTGCTTTTTTTCCAGGCTGATGTAAGCCATTTATAATACATTTTTAAAAAGTGAAATACACATTCTACATTTGAAAGCAGAGGCCTTCTCCTGTCATATCCAATAAAACTGAACTTGGAAAAGAGTGGTCAGAACTGCAAAGGTAATTTTATGCAGGCTAGTAGACAACAGCATCCACTCCCAACTCTTTATGTTTAGAGCTGTGGTGTCCAACCTGTTCTGAAGCAGTAACCATTATAAACTAGCTAGCCACGTGTGGCTAGCATGTTGGACACCATGGGTTTAGAGTCTACAGTAAGACTGCAGACTGCATGGCCTACCTTTAATCCTTGCCACGGTAGACTGGTTCTGTTAAAATACATCAATACATAGCCTAGCGACTCCATATCATCTCGACGACTGTAGAGGAAAAAAATTAGCATAAACTTAAAAACTACAAATGTTATCAGAAGATGAAGATTGCATCAAGGTTGTCATAAGAATCCTTAAACTAGAACCAGTGTCATGTTTGTCCAGACTATTTCTAACAGTGGCACAAGGATTCAATTAAAAAAAAAAAAGCCAGGATTAAATTATGCTTCTCCAATGCCACTTTAGAGATCTGAAATTGAGAGCAAACAGTAGTCTGAAAGCTCCAATATTATTTAGTTTTTCAAAGTAAGGAAAATGACTTCCCCATGCAGCTCCTATTTACATTAGTTGTGGTTAAACATCTGCTTAAACTCCAGAAAGCTGAAGTGAAAAATCTTATAAGCACAGATTTCATTAATTTATTTTATGAAATAAATGTCAAGAGTGGATTGGAACAAGAAACTTACACATCCACACCCTGACTGATGTAGCTATGATGACCTGTCAATGATGCACCTACAATGTCAACAGAAGGAGGTTTCCAATCAACTTAATTACCATCATTTGGGGACAAAGTCCCTACACTGTTGGAAAACCCCCTTTCTATATGGCCTGTATAGTTTCTGGAGTGTACACATTAATTAGCTCAGGCAGAAACATGATTTTGTCATGGGGCTTACTGTAGATTCTGATGTTGTTACTAACACATCTAGACAAGGAGCAGTAGCGACCCTTATATTTAATTACTTAACACACTTAAATCACCATACAAAGAGGAGGAAAAAGTTTCAGTGCCACTTGCAGACTGCATTAAGAGAGCTTGCTGCTAAAACATTCTATTTACAATAAACATGCTCCAATACAGCCTTAGACCTTATCACACCTGGTCCCCGAGTTGTGAACGGTCGAGTTACGACCGTTCACATTTATGACCGAAGCGCTCGTAAATGTAGTCCCCGAGTTACGAACGCGATCCGTGCTTATGAGCAGCACGGTTGCCATATAACTCAATGGGGTCCGAGTTACAAACACTTTGAGTTATGGCCAAGTGTTTGGTCCGTAACTCGTTCGTAACTCGGGGAGAGGCTGTACTAAGATGCATTTTTAAGAGGCAGTTTTAATGCATCCTTCAGAATTTTTCTTGGCATGCACAAAATCTTGCACTACAGTATTTTAAATATCATATATTTAAAGTGATACTGAACTGAGACTCCCCTCACATGGCCCATGAACACAGTTTTAGCATATTTTATTCTCTTTTCATTCATCATTTAAACTGCTCCATGCATGTTACTCCTTGTACCACTATGCAATGCAGAATTTTGCAGAAATTAATGTTCTGCATGCAGAATTTCCTGTCCCATCCCCCCTGACAGAAATGGGCAGCAGTACTGCTGGTAACCACTAGGGGCCATTAGACGCCCAAAATACCCAGCTTGCACATAGAAGACATTTCTGGAAGGATGAGGAGGAAGCTGGAGGGTTCTAGGAAGCTCCTCGCTGGGGACGGTCCCCAGCAGACCACAGGCACCGGGACTGAAGCGGCAGCAGCGGCGGTTCCCCGCGCTTCTGAGGCTTTGCTCTGGCAAAGCCTCAGAAGCGCAGGAACCCGCCCGGTGCCCCTGGTCTGCTGGAGACGGTCTCCAGCAGACCAGGGGCACCGGAGCAGCTTACGAACGGGGCTCTCGCGCCCTGGAGCTCGCAGGTAGCAATCCGCCACCTCGACCTCCGGGGCGAGAAAGCCCCGTTCGTAAGTGCGGATCCGACATAAGTCGGATCCGCGTAAGTCGGGGACTGCCTGTACAAGGATAACATTTCCCTGAATCATTCTTCTGTGAGTATTTAAAGACAGGTGTTACTCACTGCACTGAGGAAGTATCCACTCTACTAGTTTTTTTTTTTCCCTTGGCAACATTCTCCCTAAAATGGCAGGGAAGGCTTCTGCCCTTCTATATACCAGCATGCTGCTAATACCTATTTAACTTGGTCTGGATCAACTCTGTCTACCCATAAACCTCAATTCAAACACATCTCCTGCCAGGAATCAAGATGGGAACAGGTTCCCTCCACTCACATTAGGGAGTAACGGAGAGGGGAAGAAAAGATAAGAAAAAGCTGGGAGTGGAAGTGGGGGAAATTAGACCTTGGGAACAGAAGGGGGGGAGAGGATGACTCGCATGACTGGAGCACTGTCATGGAAAGATATAAACTGTTCAGGAAGAACAGGCGGGAGAGAAAAGGAGGAGGAGTTGCATTGTATGTAAGAGAGCAGTATGATTGCTTGGTGCTCCAGTATTTAGAGGGAGAAAAGACTGTTGAAAGTCTATAGATGAAATTTAGAGGTGGAAGCAACAGGGGTGATGTTGTGATTGGTGTCTGCTATAGACCAGGTGCCACATACAGCTTGACCTACTGCTCACAAACAGGGAGGAACTAGTAGGGGAAATAGAGGTGGGTGACAACCTGGGAAGCAGTGATCATGAGATGGTAGATTTCAAGATCCTGACCAAAGGAAGAAAAGAGTAGCAAAATACACACCCTGGACTTCAGAAAAGCAGACAGACTCCCTCAGAGAACTGGTGGGCAGGATTCCCGGAGATGCTCACATGAAGGGGAAAGGAGTCCAGGAGTATTTTAAAGAAGCCTTATTAAAGGCACAGGAAGAAACCATCCTGATGTGCAGCAAGATTGGCTTACCAGGGACATCCTTGGTGAGTTTAAACACAAAAAGGAAGCTTATAAGAGTGGAAACTTACACAGATGACTAAAGAGGAGTGTGTACACACACATACACACACACACAGCTCAAGAATGCAGGGGAGTTATCAGGAAGGCAAAAGTGCAACTGTAACTGCAGCTAGCAAGGGATGTGAAGGATAACAAGAAAGGTTTCTACAGGCATGTTAGCAATATAAAGGTGATCAGCTTTTCCCACATCATCTGTCACTAGGTTACTTCTCTCATTCAGTAAGGGCCCCCCACCCTCTCTGAAGTACTCAATGCTTTCTTTGCTTGTCTTCACAAACAAGGTCAGCTCCCAGACAAATGCACTAGACAACGCAGTATGGGAAGGAGGTGGATAGCCCTAGGTGGGGAAGGAACAAGTCAGGAACTATTTAGAAAAGCTAAACATACACAAATCCATGGGCCCGGATTTAATGCATCCAAGGGTACTGAGGGAATTAGCAAATGTCATTGCAGAACCTTTGGCCATTATCTTTGAAAATTCGTGGAGATCGGAGAGATCCCGGATGATTGGAAAAAGGCAAATGTACTGCCCATCTTTAAAAAAGGGAAGGACAATGCAGAGAACTACAGACCAGTCAGCCTTACTTCAATCCCCAGAAAAATCATGGAGGGGATCCTCAAGGAATCCATTTTGAAGCACTTGGAAGAGGGGAAAGTGATCAGGAATAGTCAATATGGATTCAAAGGGCAAGTAATGCCTGACCAATTTGATTAGCTTCTACGATGAGCTAACTGGCTCTGTGGATATGGGAAAGTCAGTAGATGTGATATACCTGACTTTAGCAAAGCCTTTGATAGTCTCTCATAATATTCTTGCCAGTAAGTTAAGGGAATATTGATTGGATAAATAGACTAAGATGGATAGAAAGCTGGCTAGACTGTCGGGTCCAATGGGTAGTGATCAATGGCTTGATGTCAGGTTGGCGCTCGGTTTCTAGCAGAGTGCCCTAAGGATCTATTCTAGGGCCGGTTTTGTTCAACACCTTTATTGAACACCTCATCGCCTTTGTTCAACACCTCATCACCTGGATGAGGGGGATGGATTGCACCCTCAGCAAGTTCACAGATGACACTAAGCTAGGGGAAGAGGTAGATACGCTGGAGGGCAGGGATAGGGTCCAGAGTGACCTGGACAGATTAGAGGATTGGGCCAAAAGAAATCTGATGAGGTTCAACAAGGACATCCATAGAGTCCTGCACTTGGGATGGAAGAATCCCAAGCATTGTTACAGGCGGGGGACTGAATGACTATGTAGCAGTTCTGCAGAAAAGGACCTGGGGATTACAGTGGATGAGAAGCTGGATATGAGTCAGTGTGCCTGCCCTTGTAGCCAACAGGGTTAATGGCTTATTAGGGTGCATTAGGATAAGCACTGCCAGCAGATCCAGAGAAGTGATTATTCCCATTTACTGGGCTCTGTTGAGGCCACATCTGGAGTAGTGTGTCCAGTTCAAGTGCGGTTCCCCCCCCCACCCATGCTGCCTTGCCAAAGCATCTGAATGTCCCAAATGTTGCATTGGAGAGGGTCCAGTGGAGGGCAACCAAAATTATTAGGGGGCTGGAGCATATGACCTACAAGGAGAGGCTGAGGGATTTGGGTCTATTTAGTCTGCAGGAGAGAAGAGTGAGGGGGGATTTGATAGTCTTCAACTTCCTGAAGGGAGGTTCCAAAGCGGCTGTAGAAAGGTTGTTCACAGTAGTGAGGGATGGCAGAACAAGGAGCAATGGTCTCAAGTTGTGGTGGGAGAGGTCCAGGTTGGATATGAGGAAAAACTATTTCACTAGGAGGGTAGTGAAGCACTGGGATTGGTTACCTAGGAAAGTAGTGGAGTATCCATCCCTAGAGGTGTTTAAGTCTTGGCTTGACAAAGCCTTGGCTGGGTTAATTTAATTGGGATTGGCCCTGCCTTGGGCAGGGGGCTGGACTTGAGGACCTCCTGAGGTCTCTTCCAGCTCTATGATTCTACGTTTAATAAGATTATAGTGGAGGAGCAGCTACATAACTAGATGTAAAAGACAGACAATTCTGCCATGCAGAACTTACTGAGGTAGAATGGAAAAATGAGCGTGACAGTAGTCAGACTATGCAGTTTTTTAGGCCAGACTGCAAAATTTGCTGGTGCTGAATTTTTTTTTTTCCATTTTAAAGCAAGCCCCAGCAAACCCCACTGACCTTGTGCATAGACATGGAGTGCTTATGATTGTATGAAGGTGATGGCAATAGCACTCTGAGCAAACTCTTCCCCGAGCACTAGCAGTGAGGAAGCAGCATACATCTTATAATTTTTTCAAATGGATTCTTCAATGCCACAGCTGTGTAGTACAATTCCTGGAATTTACAGTTTTGTACTTATATTTCCTAATAAAGGCTTCATTAAAAATCAAACATATGAGAGTGGACTCCAGGATATCTGGTTTGTAGAGGATGAGATGATATCACCTTCTATTATACTAGGTATTTATGCTACTTCAGTAACAGCTGTCACTACACTTACAGAGCAAACCCTGCAGTAGTCTCAATTTAGCACTGTAACTGATGAAAGGCTCGGCTGTCAATTGCAGGTCTCCTTCTCTTGATTTATAGCAAAGGATCACTTAGTGGCTTCAATACTGGCTTAATCTAGATGTGTTAGTACTACTTCGAGAGTGGAGTAAGGGAAGTTTACTGTTATACTAGAACGCCAAATACCAATAGAATGCCAAACTCAAACAGCTAAAAGAGCCCCAAAGAGCACAGTTCTTTTTATAATCACTGCCTCTACATTCAGACCTTGACTTACCCAAATCTACCTGGGATGCAGTATATGAAATCCTGTGTTGAGTGTATGTGTTCCCATCAGAAGTTCTAACATCCACCTTCTCTATTTGCCCCAGATGTCTAAAATGTTAGTAAATTGCCCAGAAAGAACTCCTAATTTGCTATTCATGACTGTCACACAAAAAAGCCATAGACGAAGGTGGTCAAGATGGAAACATATGGACCCTTGCTAAACTTTAGTACTAAGCCCCTCCCACTACTTTGAATAGTCAATTATAAGTTTTACTACAACTGATAAGTGCTGCACAAGCTATGCTTTAATAATGTTCAAGCTCTGACTACAGCATGCAGGGAACCAAAAAAGAGTCAGAAGAAATTCTGACTACTTCAGGATATAACCGATTATGGCTTTATACTAGAGTCTTGTAACAGAACTGGGATCCGCATGACCCACTGTGATAGCAGGAGCAGGCAAAGTCTACTTTGTTGTGGGCAAGACTGGAAGGAGGTGTTGAAAAACTGAGGTAATTTACAATCATTTTATTAATAAAGGTTTTGATATTGAAATTTAAAGCAAGGGATGGAAAGATTTGAAGTCTACTGTACCAGGAGCCAAGTATTTTTTTTTTAAACGTGGTTTATGTAATATTTCATTCATTTAGTAGTAAAAGCTGTGTGTGAATTCTGTTTATATATATAAAAATATATTAAATTTTTAGTAGCACAGCAGAACCTGTATCTCCTGTGCAATCTAAAGTTTTTGCAAGTCGGAATGGGATAAAAGTGCAAGAAAATATGGATAAAAAATCCTGAACAGAGCTCTATTCCAAACTGCTTTAGGCTCTGGAGCAGGGGTGGGAAAGATATACCTCTCGCCACTGGATCCAGACTGTGGATGTCCCTCCCGGGATCATCAGGCACACAGCAGCCGCTGTTTTAAGTGCAGGGCTGCTCTGTGTGACTACTCTGGAGGTAGGGGAAAGCTTTGGGTGATCTCCCCACCCCCAGCACAATCCTCAGCTCCTATTGGCTGGAAGCAACCAGCCAATATGAGGGGCTGAGAGATTGGCCTGGAGCAGGGGTGGGCAATAATTTTTGCCCCGGGGTCATTTAAAAAAAAAATGTTTGAAGTAGCCCCGGGCCACCCTGGAAGGGGTGGGGCTACCCACCCCCAGACCATGATTGGTCTGGGGGTGGGGGAGCCCTTTTGCTCCCCCCCCCCACACCACCACCACTAGGCACCCATGCCCTGGAAAAGGCTGGCACACTCCCCCACCCTGAGGCCATCAGGGCCTGGGGGTGGAGAAGCACAGGAACCCTCCTCCCACCCTGGGAGGAGCATGTGGCGCTTTGAAGTGCCATGGGCTCCTCGCAGGGCCAGGGAAGGGCAAAGGACATTTCATGCAGTTCCCCCGCCCCGAGGCATTGATTGGCCTGGGGGCAGGGGAGCATGCAAAGTCTCCTCTGCTCTCCCCCAAGCCCTGTGAGCAGCGTGCAGCATTTCAAAGCACCACATGCTCCTGGTAGGGCAGGAGGTGGCTTTGGGTGCTCCCCCGCCCCCAGGCCCTAATTGGCCTGGGGGTGGGAGAGCATCAGGGCCTTCACAGGCTGGATCTACCCACTTGGCGGGTCAGATTCGGCCCGCAGAGGACCTTTTGTCCATCCCTGGCCTGGAGGATGGGGTAGTGTAAGCCTCACCCTTCTCCCGCAGTGGAGAGCAGTGTGGAGGGAGCAGGCTGCATTTTCAATGCACTAGGGTGGTAGAAGGCACGAAGCTCAGCCTGCCTTGGCGGTGCTGCAGGGCTTGGGGGCCCTCCTACTCCCCAACTCCCTCCCCAGGTCACCTTCCAAACCCTTTACACCCCACTTGCCTTATATCACAACTCCCTCCCAGACCCCTCCCCCTGGCCAGAATCCTCTCCTGCACCCCCAACTCCTTTCCTGACTCTATACCCCAATCACCCAAGTCACAACCCCATCCTTTACCCAAACTACCTCTCAGACCATCTCCTGCACCCCAGTCCCTTACTCCATGTGCCCTTCTGCACCCTACCCTCCATCCTAGACTCCACACCTCCTCTACAGAAAAGTGGGGCCTTGACCACTTTCCAAAATCTTGGAGTGACCTCCCACTAAAAGTTATTGCCTGCCCCCGCTCTGGAGTGTCTTCTGTTTAAAAGTATCTATCAGGAAAGGGTAAGGAATGGAAATATAGCATCAATTCATGTTTGGCTGAGTTTACTCAACACAAGCTTCTGAATAGCTAGAGGACTGAGCACTCTCTCCACTTGATTTCTGAATGAGTGAAGCTCAGGTATGCAGAGCAATTGATGCATTCTGGCTTAAGGTACAAACTCACACTTTTGGTTGATTAATGAAATACAAATATGCCTTTGAGATGGCCATTCTTCTACCCTTCCAGGAACAGGGGAATGCAGCTATAACTGCAACCAAGTATGCAGAATAACAGAACAGCAGCTGAAAAAAGCATGGGGTACCATGATTTTCCAAATCTTATCTGCAGGTACCAGTGCAAACATAACCTAACGATGACTAGGGAAGACAAAGTGAAAACATCAGCACTAGAAGTCAGCACAAAAAGGCTTCTGAAGCTAGTAAAGAGGTTTTCCCCCCCACTACAGAAACAAAAAAACTGGGCTATGGAAGTAGATCTGCTAATGTTCAAAATGACAACAACTGGTACCAGCACAATGAGAAAAAAAATTGTGCTTTGAATTTTTTTTTTCCAGAACAAGTGTCTCTTTAGCCTGCAAGACTCACTGTAAATCATGGAAGAAAATAAAGAACTTAACTAACTTCTATACTATGACTAGAGTAGGCAGAAAGGTAAGTATTTGCCATGGGGTGTTCACACATTTGAGTGAAAGTAGTTTAGAGACTTAATCTTATGAATGAGGTCAGCCCCACAGTCTTCAGGCACACTGCCCTTGAACTCACCTCTGCTCAATGCCAAGATGTGCATTGATACTGGCATATCGAGCCGTGCCAGTGAGATTTTTGTCTTCTCTGTATGGTATGTGTTGCCTTGTCCTGTTGTCCCGGTACTTTTTGGCCAAACCAAAGTCAATAAGGAATAACTTAAAGAGAAATGAAAATAGGTTATTGCTTCCAGACCAATGCAAGTCTGTGGAAACCCCACCCAGCTTGTACTTAGAGACCTATTGAAACAAATTAAACCAGAGCCCCTTGTTTAAAAGAAGCAAAGTAACATTATCTTACTTCCTCTACAAGTTTTAATAATCAGTTATTTCAAGCCTTTCCTTTTGTCAGATGGAAGGGACGAGATTATGCTATTCAACTGAAGGTTTAGACTTTAAAATACTTGACTACTGCTCTACTCTGTATTACAGGCAGTCCCCGGGTTATGTACAAGATAGGAACTATAGGTTTGTTCTTAAGTTGAATTTGTATGTAAGTCGGAACTGGCTCCAGATTCAGCCGCTGCTAAAACTGATCAGCGGCT